GGTCCCTCGGGGGGTGTCCCGCGGGCTGTGCGGCGCTCAGGTTGGGTGGCGCCTGTCAGCAGGCGACAGACGCCTCTCGGTGCGTGGATCTCGTTCCGGGAGCTTTTGGTGGGGATTCAGCTGCGGCTCAGGGGTGATAAATAAGCCGTAGGGGTGTTTGCAGTGAGGGTAGCGACACCGTGTGCAGCGCTTCGCTGCGTTTGCCCCTCCTGTTGTTTTTGTCAGGAGTGCAAAAGGCTGTTTGTGCCTGAAAAACGTCGAGGGTTTCTTCCTTTTGTTTTGTGAGACTCGAGTGTTCCAGCACTTATTTCTTGTATGAAGCCTTGAGCAAGCTGGTCTAGTGGGGAGGTGTCCCTGCCCATGACAGGAGGTTGGGACTAGGTGAGCGCTAATGTCCATTCCAGCCCTTAGATTCTGTGATTCTTCTGTGATTTCACCCTTGTTTGGGGCAGAAGGATAGGATAGGGTTGGGTGGCAGGAAGTATCCATGCACCTGTCTGCTGCCTTGCTTCCCAGAGGGGAATCCTAGCTTGTTATAGGTCAGAGTACTGGTAGAGTGCACGTTGTACTGTAGAGTGTTCATCCGTATCCACACGTCAGATAAAACTATTAATTACTTCAAGGTTAAATTAATGGGTTTACATTGTGCCCTTGTTTTACTTAAGTGACAATTAAAGAATGTTGGGAGATCCTTGTTCTTAAGCATTTAATGAATGTCCTGTGTTGCTTGTCCAAACACTGTTACTCTTCTGGTTTTGTATATGTCTAATTTATTACCTTTTAACTTGAAATGCAAATTTCATTGTGGGTGACTGGTTTTATTGCCACTTGGGTATTAATTTTTCTAGAAATAGTAGTCCAGTCTTTAAAGAACTGAACAAACCAGTTTTACTAGAGTTGCGTATCTCAGATATGGTTAAATTGTCATGATTTGTGGTGTTATAGATACTAACCAAAATAGATACTTTTTGAGGGTATGAATTTTCTAGGTACGTTGTTTCTGTTGACATATATGGAGTTTTTACTGAAGTTGATAATAGCAATCATTTTTATAAAGCAAAATATGCTATTTTAGCTTACAGTCAGATATTGACATGAAGATTTCTACAAATGTACAGTTAGATGAACATAAGCTCCAAACCCCATTTGCTTATTGAGGAGTAAGTTTCTTTGTGCAGCTTGCCCAGTAGCTAAGTTAAACAATAATTTGCATACTGTCAGGCTGGGGAGGAACAGGTTGGGCAGGGCCTACCAGGCTTGAATTTTAAATTCTTGGAATTCTCTTAACATTCTCACCTAGTGGCTTTGGCAGGCTTCTCCCTGCAGTTAGGCTGTCACCCACAGCAGAGGACACTTCTGATTTAACGAGTACTACATCATTTATCCTCCACCTGCATAGGGAAGCTCCCATTCAGATTTACACAAAGGAACGAAAACGTGCATGTACATGCATTTTCTTCATAATATCTCCACAGTTAATTTTGCAAAGTGCTTTTTAGTTTCGAGAGTCCAAACATGAGATGGTGTTCTGTTGGTACTAGAGGAGGTTTGATGGCTGGGAGTGAATGAAACAATGGAAAAAGCACAAGATCTAAAACCTAAGAAATTAGATTTGTGGTTCTTTTAAACTCATTAGGATTGATTTTGTAGTCATTTAGCATATAGAGTTTGCCAATGGAACAGCTACAGATTAAAATCTCTGAGAGCTGGAAATACCTATAGAACATTTTTAGTGTACTCCATGATCCTTTCTTGTAACTATGTATCAGGTTAATGAAAAGTTCCTTTATACAGGAATATTAGCCAGCGTCTAATAGCTGTTTGGTCTAGGTTGCATAGTTAGGAATTGCTTGTGTTTTTCCACAGCATGATTCATAAATTAAAATTAATTTCTTGTAATAAAGTCTCAGCAAAGACATAAAATTATTTAGACAATGAAGACTAATGTAAGTAAGACAATAAAATTACTTAATAAAGAAATTCAGTGTTTCCATAATTTATTTCCAGGTATGTTCATGACAGAACACTTAATAGATAGCAAAGAAGCATGTAGTTATTCTTAAGATTTTCTCATGGTATTCAGACACAGATTCTCATATCTAAAACTTGCAGTCCCCATCGTTAAGACAAACTCGACTGTGAATGTGCTTGCAATCATGTCTGGTTCTGCTCCTGAGTTGTCCTGTTGAAGTCATAACTGCTATTTCTGATTTAAATTTGAGTGTTTGCAAGATTGAGATCTATGCAGCTGGATTCCTGTCTTTTAAAACAATGTATTTCTTAAAACTCCTAGTCTGGTTCTTGGTTTAATAGCACAAAGTTGTGTCCTCAGCTGACATGGAAATGGCAGAAATATCCATGGAGCCACAGAATTAGTGTATTTCTATGTTTCCTGTAGAAGAATACTGCAGGGTGGGATATAACTGCAACTATAGTCAAGGTAGAAGAGCATAGCTGTGCTACTTCTTCCAGCACTGTGCTAAAGTTTGCTTACATCTAGGCTGATTCTGTTACACACACCTGCACTGGAGTGAATTGTTCTGTAATACATGTAACTCTTTAAGAAGTTTTGTTTAGTGTGTTTATTACATCTTTTATCAAACAAGTCTGTCTTTCCCATTTAAAACTAATCAGATTATTTGTCCTGATTTCTACTGGAATTAGGTCTGTAGTACCAGGGAGAGAAGGTGTGCAAGTCCAAAAAACTGTAGTGTGGTTGATTTCAGTCAACTTTGACTGAGGTATGCAGGTGTCAAAAATAAGTTGCTACAGATTTTCTGAGACTAAGGAGCTATGAAGAGGAAACAAACTTCATCTGTGTCTTGAGTGTGGAAAAAACTGTGGCATAAATGCATATATTAATAGACATCAGATGGCCTGTGCAGACCAGAACATTGCCTTATAAATCTATATAATACAGTGGGAAGAGCTTTAATTCATACAAACAAGCAGCTCATACCTGATCAGAAGGACATTGGGGCTGATTAGTCCCAGTGCTCACTGAATTATTTGTTAGTGCCTTTTGCTTCTTTTGTCCTTGTTACCATGACTTGGTAAACATCTTTATCACAACAGTATCTTGTCCCTTCCATTTGTATAGGAATAACATTCTTTGTTTTTCAAAGAAGCAGCTTTACACAAATTATATGCCAGTGAGTTGTGTATATGACAAGGCCATAATTGAAAATGCCATATCTGCAGATTTCAGTACATTTGCTGATGTGCTATTTAAACTTTATTTTACTATAGGTTGAAAAAATAGTACTCTTTATACCTTACTTGAAAGAGAGACTGAAGAAATATCCTTAAATGTTGCTTTTGAATATACCACATAATACTGGTTCCATAAAATAGTTTCTTTTTGCGTTCTCTCTTCATGATAAGGAGGATGAATGTTATCTCTTCCTTTTTGTCACTGTTTGTTTGCTGCCTTTGTTCTTTATTGCGTACTCATTGTCACAATTGTATAAATGGGGCATAGGCTTCAGAAGTTCTATCTGGCAGAATAAGCAACTCAGATTTTTGTTACAATTTAGGAAATTCTGCAAGTACTGCAGGGGAAGGTGAACTAAATTGGAAGCTCCTACAGTCTTTTGGCTCTTGTATTTGTAAGGTGATGTATAATAACTTCCTTGTACAATTTTTCTGAAGCATAAATAGGTTGTTTCTTGTTTCCTTCACCTGCAGCAACCAATTAATCCTTAAGTTCATTAATAGTTAGATCATACAAATAGTGTCAGCAATCTAATAGGTAAAATACTGAATTTTGAGCTTGTGTTTTGACAAGCAAAGTGTAGGAAAGGACAGATAGTTTTTCACTTGTCTGTATAATACTTATCTGTTATTTCTCTGCTCTGGGATCTTAAGAAATCTTTCTTTCAGAAAATGTGTAGTTCCATAAGCCTTGGAATTAAATGAGCTGAGTTTCATTCAGATTTGTTTCTCTCTGTTGATTGATACTGATACAGAAGGTGTGAACTTTTCCTGTGGAGTAGGGCAGTTTATGGATTCTCTTCTTTATTCAATTGCTTGTTTTTAAGAAGTAGTTGAATTTCTCAGTCCTTGATTGCTTAGATGTAATGAAGAACAATCAAGAGATTCAGAGTTTTTGAGGAGAAGTAAAGCAATGATATATAATCTCCAGGTATGCAGTGTGAATATTTATAACTGCAAAGCCCTGGAAGTTATAGTTTTGAATTCTTTTTGTGGTTTACTCCTCTATCCTATTGGATCCTTGGTTAGAAGTTAGTTTTCAACGTGTGCCTTCTGTTAACAGAAATTGTGAGGACTGTGAAACCTTTTTTTATTGTCTTTGTAGAATAATACGTTGGTGCACAGCTGAAACCATGGAGTCCATGCTGAACAAATTGAAGAGCACCGTTACAAAGGTAACGGCTGATGTCACCAGTGCTGTCATGGGAAACCCTGTTACCAGGGAATTTGATGTTGGCCGACATATTGCCAGTGGTGGCAATGGGCTTGCTTGGAAGATATTTAATGGAACTAAAAAATCAACCAAACAGGTGAGTTATCAAATAAAGACCAAAGTTTATAAGCATTAGATAATAGACTTATAGGTAGAAGTTGGTAAATGGCATTTAAAAACAAAATTCAACTGGGCAGACTAATCTTAAGGGTAGTGAAATGAAACAAAGAACTCAACACTATTTAAACACAATGTTCTCATCTATGTAGGTATATCTGCTGGAGAAAGAGGTGGTTCTGCATTCATAGCATGCAATTTGAGACCAAGAAGTCATCTGAATTAAAAGTGATCTGGCAAGAAGGAAAGTTTGTTTTAACACGGACTGGTTCACCAGTTTGTTGTATCTTACAACTGTTTTGGGCAGCAGTACTGGCTTTTTGCAGTTTAAAATCATTGTGAAGTATGCCACCATTTGTTCTGCCCAAAAGACACCATTTTTTTGCTCAGCTGCCCTCACAGAAATTAAGGGGTTAAAAATGTTAAGTCATGAGATCCTGTAAGAGGAAGACATAGGATAGAAGAGGAGGTTGTGGAGGAAGTTAGTTATGCCTTCCTTGTGCTGCTTTCATACTGGTATTGTTCCCTTTTAATTTCTTGAAAGTATTAGGGTTTAGGGCACTAGTACATAAACTTTTGGAAGTCACATGTGTAAATAAATTTGGGATTGTCACTTCGGAAGCTTTGTCAGAAACAGAGTTTAAGAATTGTTATTGCAGAAATTTATTTTGTTGTACTGGAGAAATGTGGAGTCATTTTTTCAAACTTGGAGAGGAAGTAGAATTGTTAGTAAGTTATGGCCTTCAGTTAAACTTGATGCTGAAGTGATGTGAAGTCACTTAGACAATGAATCAGCAATGTGTGATCTGATTGTGACAGAATTGGAATAATGTTTAAGCTGGTACTTTTGCTGTGTTTTCAATCATATCTTTAGCTGTTGCAGAGCTCTGTACATCTAGTATTTACTGAATTCACCCAACATGCCAGTTGGTTGGGGCTTTTTTTTGTTCTTACTCAACTGTGCAAAGGAGTGAAAACATTTGAAGTATGCTAGTTTTGATGGGTTTCATGCAATCTCTGTGCCAAGTAAAAATGCTTACTGGGCACAGAGGTTATATAAACCCTATCAGTCTATAAAACCTGTAGCAGGTGTAGCTTTAAGGTCTTGAGAGTTATTTCTTTCACTGCATAGCTGACAGAGTGTTTGTAACTAGGTTCCTGTTGAGCATGTTTTTCAAGCTTCGAATGGGTGTTCCGACCAATTATTTTGCAGAGTTTTAAGTTCAGGTGTTACCACATGTGATCCTGCAGTATCTCTGTAAACCCTGACTAGCATCTGTACATTTGTATGTCCTCATTAAAAATACAGCAGCAATTTTAGTTGGCTGGTGATTTGACATGCAGTTACCGTTCATTATTAATATTACCAGTTAGGTAACATTATGTCAACATTCAGTTTACCGTTGCAAAATTAAACTGTGCAGCAATACAAATAGTTCATGCTGTGTTGTATTGCAATATATCTGTGCTTTAACTGCCTTTTTGAAGAGGTATTGGTGTATCAGTCATGCATAGCAGCTCACACAGACAGGGCAAGCAGGAGGGGGCACTGAGGTGCTGCAGCTCAAGCTGTCAGCTCAGTTGGTCACTGCCCTCACTGAGAGAGAGCTCAGTCTGTGTCCACAGAGACAAAAGTTACTTCCTCTGTGCACACCTGAAAGGACATTGTGACCCAGACAGAGAGCTGGTGAAAGCATGCAGGGATCCAGGGCTCAGGTTGCAGAAGTGCCAGAGCCTGGCACTGCTCTCAGAGAGCTGCAGACAGAGCACCTATGTGAGGTGTGATCAGATCCACCATCTGCTCAGCCTAGTAGTGAAGCTGAGATGAAGTAGAATAAAAAGTGTTATGGACTCTGAGGAAGAGTCTGACTGGTGAAGCTGCACCTTGCCATGCCTTAGGCTAATGGACCTGCCTTCCACTTCACAAGAAGCAATGGATTCTCTACCATCTCACCACCAGGCAGAAGGAGGGGATGTTAGTGATGGAGGGGAGCGGAAATGAGTTTCTGCTTGGTGTGGCAGGCGAATTCCCTCCCAATCTTCCCTCGCCTTCTTCGCCCTTATACCATAGGCATGAGGCCCTGGAACCTGAGGACCAGGGAAATGAGAATGTGGGTGAAGGTTCTTCTGGGGCAGAAGAGTTGCCTAGGGCAGGGCATCTTACCTCCAACATCACAACCTCCTCAAGTAAGAAAAAAAAAAAAAGGGTCAGTAGTCATTGGTGACTCCCTTCTGAGAGGAACAGGGGGCCCAATATGCTGACCAGACCCAACCCATAGGGAGGTGTGTCACCTCCCTGGGGCCTGAGTAAGGGGCATCACAAAGAAACTTCCCAGTCTGGTGCTATTACCCATTACTGGTTAAGTCCCAACAAGAAGGCTGCAGACAATCAAGAGGGACCTCAGGGCCCGGTGTCAACTGGTCAAGTGATCTGTAGCACAAATTGTGTTCTCTTCTGACCTTCCAGTTGCAGGGAATGATGAGTTCAAACAGACCATGCAGGATTGCAGCAAGCACCAATAGAACTTACTTCTAGCCATCATAAAATATTCAAACCATAGCTGATGTCCTATACTATATGATTTAAATACTCATTTTCTGATTCTTATGACTTGTCATCAAACAAAAGTGCTTTCAGAAGTGCTGTCTTGGTTTGACATTTTGTTATTGGTCATGTACTGCTCAATACATTTACTCTTTGTACTGGAAAATGTGTATTTTTAAAAGAGTGGGCATACTGTATGTCTTCCATCCACTGTCATTTGTTCCTCTCTGCCTCGTGTCAGTGTTGATGTTTGATCCATCACACTTAAGAGCTGGAGCAGAGAGCCACTATGGGTAGAAGCAGGAGAAGTGTACTTAGTTGAATTAGTTGTAGATATTCACCTGCTAATGGCTTAATGAAACAGGTACCAGCTAAAAACCAATGTTTTGTGTACTGGGATGAATTTCTTACTTTATAGAGCCTATTCCTAGAAGTTTGTGGGGTTTTTTAATTAATAATGTAACTGTTCCTGTGAGATTTTAATTAGAATAATTGTTATAAAATGTGCAGTTGAAGAGCACAGAGTTCCTCTTGGGACTGAAAACTGTATTTTCATATTCTTTTCTACTGGTTTCTAGCCTTTATTATTATTCATAATGCAGTTGTAGCAGCATATGAAAGTCTCTGTTTCAAGATAAAATTTTGAATTCCTTTTTTGGTCAATTGATATATTTCTCTTTAATGGTCTCCAAGATGGTGATGTAATCTAATTTTTTATTTCACATTGACCTCTGTAATTTCAAAGTTTCGTAAGAATTTCTTAGTTTTCTCCCACTCCACAATGGAGAGGTTTTCTCTGGTTTTAACATTTCTCTGGCTTGTTTTTGCACATCTTTAAGCATTAAAAAATTCTTAATGTTTTATCATGTGAATGGTCTGATCAGATTAATAGATTATCATGGCTATAAATTATCTTTCATGAAAGTCTAGTTTAATACAGATTGTACTGGTTTGGAGCAGAACATTTGGAGAGGATCTGGTTTAATAAAGCACCACTTGATATATTTAATGCCAAATGAATGCACATATACTCAGAATATTTTAACTGTTCATAGTTAAATGCAATCATCTACTTAAAATCAAGCTGATTTCTGTCCAGTGGATCTGCTACTTTGTCACTGTGTAGATAGTGGTTATAGTTTGCATATTACTATTTGCAGGATAAGGAGTAGTGTAGTACCTTAACTCTTAAAATCTGTATTTCAGAGGTTATATACACTAAACTGTCCTATGACTGGACAAAGTAGGGACAATAAGTTTTTTTGTTTGTTATATTGGTAGGATTGTACTGTTCAAAAAACTATGTCTGTGTATGTAATTGTATATAGGCTTGTTTTTTTAGCTGTGTTATATACCGAGTGAATTTTGTTGCTTGTTTCTAGGAAGTGGCTGTTTTTGTCTTTGATAAGAAGCTAATAGACAAGTATCAAAAATTTGAAAAAGATCAGATTATTGATTCTCTGAAACGAGGTGTTCAACAGCTAACCAGGCTGCGACACCCACGGCTACTTACCGTTCAACATCCATTGGAAGAATCCAGGTAAGCGGTAGTAAAGTTGAAAACAGACATTTGTAATCATTGTTTTGATATTGGACATAAAATATGTGGAACATTTAACACATATGTCTGATGAGATTTAGGTTTTCTGTATTTATACATATGAGAATGGTATTCACCTCATCCCCAGATTCCCCCCCCCCCCCCACCTTAGAATGGATTTCTAATGTAATTAATAATCTATTGTATGATCTTGGTCCTGTCACAGCTCTGAGGCTACATGTGACCTTACAGCATGAAAATTTGGTGGTTAAATTAATTTTGCTTTTAAAGAATACTCTTACAAATTATTTTCTTTCAAAAGGTAGTTTATATATTTGTACCATGTATGAGATGTATGTGGTTAGTGTATGTGAGATTGAACTTTGTGTTGTAGCCACATATGCGTTGAGAAGGTCCTCAGCTGCCAATCGAGGGAGACAAAATTCGGTGTGCTTTTGCAGTGCTTGTTTGATTAATGTAAGGTTGGTCACAAGGCATAATAATTGGTTAGTCTTACAGATTTGGTGTTCAAACATAGTGATAACAGCACACTAAAATCTAACAAAGAAAATCAAGGTTTCATCTTATAATAGGAAGCTGCTCCTAATCTACCAAGGAAGATCATGAGGGTTTTAGAGGCCTTTTTTCCCAAAATAGCAGGGTGGGGGGGTTGAAGCAGATGATCTCAAGAAGTCCCTTCCAACGCCAACCGTTCTGTGATTGTAAGTGGTAGTCTAATAAAGATTCACGTACGTTACCTTTCAAACTTCTACATTTTTGATTGTGTCTGTTAACTTGCAAATGAACTGGCTTCTAGGAGCTGAGGATACTCTAGGAATGCTTCTTCATTTTTACCATGCCTACTTTGGCAAAGTATTAAATAACACCTGTATATTTCTATCTGTCTTTTCTCCAGTACTAAACACAATTGACATTAACAAGGATTCAAAGCTGTCAGTTGTCCCTATGGTTCAGTATGTCCCTTACAAAAGCCTAAAGAAGATTAATTAAGTAATTGAAGACAGCTTTCAGTACTCTACAGCAGTAAATAAACTGCTACATGCTAAACAGCCTAGGGTCATCTCAAGTCATAGTGTGTGCTGGTGAATCCCATGCATACCCCAGGCTTCTTCCTAAAATTGTCGCAGTATTCCTGTTGAGTCAGCAGCTTTTTCCGTGAACTCTGCACTAGAAGAAAAGGCTGGGAGTGTTAAGAAAGCTCTGGTGGTGTTCTTGTGAAGAACTCGAACCTTTTGAGTAAAATTAGCAGTGTAGTTACATCAGAGACCTTGTTTGTGAGATTCTAGTAATGCTTTCTGCTTTGCTTCAGTTGTTCTTTGTCACTGGGAACACTCAGCTACTGGTAGAAACACCAGAAGCCCAAAATCTGTCAAAATGCTTGCTGTGCCAGAACGGGACGTAACAGTTTTTGGAGGTGATTCATAAACGAGAGGTTTGCTTAGAATATTTGTAAGCGTAACCTTGTGTAAGCATGCTGTAAGATGTCTTCAGAATTCCAGGTCTTTCCAGGGTGCTTATTCTTGAAGAAATCTGTTGTGGGCTCCTTCTGGCTAGACTGTATCTGGTCTGGGTTTTTTTTGTGTCTCCAAAGTAACATATAGTTGTGTTGAACTGCTTACAAGTCAACCTTTATTCCTCTATGGAGCAAATGGATACTTGGTGTACCTGCACAGCTGAAGTAGATACAGAAAGAAAGGCTGTACCTTTCTCACTCTGTAGGTCAGTGTGTAGGTAGCTTTTCCCTCTATTAACAGAATGTTTCTCCTAGAAATTATTGGTATTCAATACATTTGATATAAATATATGTATTATATATAATGATGTATATATCTTTGCATGCATTTTTATAATGAATAGCTCCTTATTTATACTAAAAATTAGTATCACTTACAGTTGGTCTTGAATTCCATTAACAACACTGGCAAGTGATATTATTCTATATTTAACTTGTTATTGGAGAAAAGGATAAGAAAACCCAAATCCCAAGTTAGCTCATAATATCATTGCTACCCATTAAAAATAGGAGGAGTGTGAAGAGTTCCAGATAATTTACTAGACATTCCATCTGTTACTTTGTTTCCATGTAAAAAGCATATGTGGTTTTGGCCATCACTTTTATTTTTAACTTGTTTTCTTTTAGTTACACTACTCTGAATTTCATTTCGATTTCATTCAGGAAACTGTTAAAGAAGCTGCACTGTATGGAGACATCAGCTTCTGCAATATTCAGTTAGTTTAACTGGATTTACTGCATCCTTCTGGTACTTTGGTTTGGGCCCTTATTTAATTAGCTCCTAAAGTGAAAAATAAACAACCTTCTTTTTATTCCCTCAAGACAACAGTAATTTAGGTTATGAAAACCACTGAATAACTGTTCCCTAGGTATTTTCTATCATCTGTACTAAATGTATAAGCTCTGTGGTGAAGTCAGATTGAAAATGAAGGACTTTGTCTTGCTGTACTCTGATTCTTCCTCATGACTATGGCAGAAAGGAGTTTTATAGCCCTTATGTGTTAATAGAGATGTGAAAGGTATGTCATTAACAGAATGGTAGGGAGTAAACCAAGCAAAGAAGTTCTCTCAGGTTGGCTGACACTTAGGATTTAATGTATTTTACTTTTCACTTGGTTTTCCTTTAGAGAGGCAGTAGGCAAAACAAATCTGGATGAATAATAAGAGGTTTGTGTGTTTCAGCAGCCTTACTTTATTGCAAATGGCGAACTTGTTAATTATTGAAAAACTTTCGAAGTATCTGGTAGATTCATGCTGAGACATTGTGTCTTCTGTGATATATTTATGGAATGAACAAAAAGTGAGGCTCTGTCTCCTTGCCTGTAACTTCAAATTCAAAAATAGATCTTTATTACTGTTACTCGGCCTTGGTTTTCTGTGTTCAAACTGATGCAGTATTTAGTGTTCTCATGAATTAATCATCCTTAAAGCAGGTATGTGTGCTGCCACCCATGTAATGCTTTCTCAAAAAAAGCTTTAAAACAATTAAGAAATTAATTGCAATGACTGTCCAGGGCCTACACCACTGTGCAGACCAGTATGAAGAATGTGGAATATAGAGAATGACTCTATCTGTGTTGCATGAAGTTTGTGAAACTGAGACAAATACTGGTTTGGGGACCAGTTTGGAAATTTGTCACTTGACATGCAAACTGCACTTAATACAATAAGCCATTTGTGCTTGCAGCACTTCTTTTCTATTAATTTGCAAAGCAAAAGCATATTCAGGTGCTGCCTTTCATTTTCTTTCTCGTTATTGTCTGACTACATTAAGTGTTGCTTCAGTCAGGGACATGTTGGTTTTAGACATAGGTTAAAGCTTGATTTTTACAAGTGATAATAGTAGTAAGAATTATTTAATTGATTTTCAAGGATCAGGACAAGAAAAGCATTGCTTTGTTTAAACTTTTTGTGAAGCATTATTTGCATCATTAGTGACTTATGTGAATGCTAGAGAATGAAATATCTTAATTCTTTTTTTTATTCTTCAGATATTTATATTTTTCTCTTTAGTATAATATTATAAGAATTCAGAACCTGAAATACAACATGTTTTTTGGTTGTACAAGTGCTCTGGTAATGTATAATACCGTGTTTGTATGGTTCTTTATTTGCAGTCAGGAGATTAGCTGCATTCACTTACAAGAAATTTTTAATGCATTTGCTATACAGGGATTGCTTGGCATTTTGTACAGAACCAGTCTGTGCAAGTTTAGCTAATGTTCTCGGCAACTGGGACAACCTACCTTCTCCTTTGCCATCTGACATTAAAGAATACAAACTTTATGATGTGGAGACCAAATACGGTTTGCTTCAGGTATGACACAGGTTGTCCTTGTAATTTTCTTGTGCTTTTAGTATTAATAAGTTTTTTTTGTAAAGTCTGTAAATGTCGAAGTTTTGTCTGCCTATAATAAATGAAGTAATTGAGAAGTGAGGGATAATAGTGCCCTGATCGCTTCACCCTGTGTGAAGACAGGATAAACACAGGAGGCTCTGAGTTGCTACCCTTTTTTTGCTTATTCTGGCATGTAAAATAGAAAATTCAATGAGTTTTTGTTTTCCATCTAAATGCCTGTGCTACAGCTGTCTCTCCCATATGTGAATCTTTACCTTCTGTCAAGGACCAGTAGGTCCCAGGTTTTGTTTGGTGAATGTGCTGATAGACTTTGTAAAGCATTTTTGTTTTTCTGAGATCATAATGTAGCCTGAGGGGAGAGGGGAATACACCACCAAACCTACTCTCTGATAGTTAATCAACATTAGTCATCATCTCCTACATCTGTGTTTGATTTCTTTCATGTATAAACTTTAAGACATATGCTAAAATAGCAGTGAAAAATCGTATCTTAGTTCACTTACCAATTTAGCTGTGACCTTAGAGACAGAATTTTTGTAAATATCTTACAGGCTGTTTGGGGAAATACTTAACCTGAAACAGTGATCTTTTATTGACAGGTTTCTGAAGGCTTGTCATTTTTGCATAGCAGTGTGAAAATGGTCCATGGAAATGTTACTCCTGAGAATATAATTTTGAATAAGAGTGGAGCATGGAAAATTATGGGCTTTGATTTTTGTATCCAGTCAACAAATCCATCTGAACAGGAGGTAATAATCTTTATATTTCTTATCATTAAATTTCAAATTCAGATCTTTGTCTGAAACCAGTTTCATGACCTTGCCTTCCAGTACAGAATCATTTATTTAATATTCACCTCTGTATTTTGTTGGCAGGAAGTTTGAACATATGGCACAGGTCTGGATTGAAGTGCTGCATTTGGTCATCACAGAAAAAGAGCCTGAGTTGGCTCATTGGAGTCAAAATAGACTAGTGATGGTTTCAGACAGAGGCTGAAGCCTGTCCCACTTCTGCTCACCTGCATGTTGGATGATATGCAAAGCTATCTAATTTAGTCTGTTGCATCCACTCAGTGCCTGGTTGATAACTCATAAAATTAATTCCCATTGTAGCTCATGTTTCCCTCTTACAGCAGTGCTTTGATTTTTACATTACACTTTCCAACTCTAATATTCAGACTTAACTGCATCAGCTAATCACTCTAGGCTACAAACAGGTTTTGCCTTACTCTGTTTCTGTTTGATTCATAATTGAAATTGAGTGGCTTAATTGTTTTCTGCTGCTTGAGTTTCTTCTTGAAAATGGTCTTTAAAAATCCCTAATAAAAATACTTTCTTCTCTTACTTCTCTTGTAGCCAAAGTTCCCTTGTAAGGAATGGGACCCAAACTTGCCATCCTTGTGTCTTCCAAATCCTGAGTATCTGGCACCAGAATATATACTCTCTGTGACCTGTGAGACAGCCAGTGATATGTACTCTCTAGGAGCTGTTATGTATGCAGTATTTAATAAAGGGAAACCAATTTTCGAGGTCAACAAGCAAGATATTTATAAAAGCTTTAGTAGACAGCTGGATCAGGTATTTGTTCTATTTGTGACTATTATTCACTGATTTTCATGTTTGAAAAGTTACCATTTTCTAATAGGTTTAAATATTTAGAACACTGTATCAGTGCTCCGACATAAACCATCTGATAATGGTATCTTACCTTGCATACTGTCACCTGATTTCTGTAAAACCATTGAATGCTGGTCTTGTGGAATAAATCCTGTACCTCTTGTGGTGAACAGTATGAAACACACAGCAGTGAATGACCTGTGTAGGACAGTTGAAGAGGGCTGAGTTTAGACCAATTTGATCACTTGACACTGCAGTTGGTATCCACTTCATTATCACTATTTCACATGCTTTGTGGACTGTGAATATTAACAGAAGACAGTGTCACAGTTTGAGTAGTTAATTGGATCAGCTGATGCATTATCTATTCATATGCAGGTTTCCTTTGTCATAACTTCTTTGGGTCCGTTGCCTTGTTGTGTGTACTGTGTTTTAATGTGTGTAGACAACACTTCAGATAATTACATTTTCTGGTTTAAAAATACTGTGTTTGTGTTCTCTGATAACCTGAACTACAGCGGGAAGTTGAAAATAGAAGAATGAGACCTGAGAAACAGGTAGGGAGACAGAAAGACTATGAGGAATTAGAAACAAATGGGTTATAAAAGGGGAGAAGGGAGGGGTAACAAAGGTGTGCATAGAGAAACCATCAAGAGAACAAAGTGTAGTCCTGTGTATGTTGGAAATAATTGTATGCAGGATTTTCTGACTTTGTGGTGCATGTGCTTGAATTACTTCCACAGCTGAGCCGTTTAAGCTCCAGTAATCTTCAGAATATACCAGAGGAGGTGCGTGAACATGTAAAGCTACTCTTAAATGTAGCTCCAGCAGTCAGACCAGATGCAGATCAAATGACTAAGGTCAGTTCATGGAAAATACAGTAGCCGTGGAAAAGAGGGAAAATAGTGTTTGATTTGTAGAGATATTTTAAAGTGTTTTCTGTTAGTCATTTTAATTGAAATGTTAAATATTTTATAACTATTTCAGAAATAATGTTAGTTGATGCCAAAAGTTGTCCTTATGCTGACCTTTATTAATATGGAAAAAGTGGGTGTTGAGACAGAATTGAGAATGAATATATGGTACAACAGTGTTTTGTTTCTTTCCAGTAGTTGGAAGCCCTTCTATGCTATGTTGTTATACAGTTTAGTCTTTAAAACTGTATTGGAAGGATTTTAAAGACATGAAATGATAAAGGGCAATGAACATAAGGATTAACTTTTGGCTTATGATTGTTTATGTATTTTTAAATACGCAGAAGAATAGCTTAAAATATATTTGGAGCTTACTTTCTATAATAAAGCAAAAATTAATTGTGAGTAGGGTAATACAAATTATAATTTGACAAACTATTGCTCTGCTTTGCTGTCTGATAGTAGAACCTAAAAGCATGGTTCTTCCTTTGTCTCGTACCCCATTTTCTTTTGGGTTCCTGCTTATAGATTTGCTTTGCTAAACAGTTTTATTCTTTTGCTGTCATAGAAAATGATTGTATGCAGAGAGAGAAATCAGTGTTTCAGCAGTTTAAAAGAAATAGTGAGTGAAGAAGGGAGGGAAAAGCAGGTAATGGTTCTTCCAGCATATATGCTGGAAGGTGGAAAGTGAGGAAATTGGCAAGTATTACTCAGGTACAACTCACTTGTCCGAAGGACTGCAGCAATCAAATCTGTAAATGGTTGTATTAAGCAGTATAATTTTTTAAAGATGTGAATTCTCTTACCACATCTGCACTGCAGACTGAATTGTAGGGTAGAGATACTAGAATTTTGGTTCTAAAAGCAATTTGTTAAGGCCAGCATGGTATGAGCCAAAATGGAGATTGGCATGGGCAAGCTTTCCATGCTCGTTTTAACTAGTTTGTGTTAACCTCCATAGAATTCCACAGTCACCAACATTTGGTGTGTGATCTAGAAGACAGAATTTAAGTCCAGAGTGCAGGTTAGCTTGAAATCTCTGCTGATAAATTAATTTCTTCTGTATTACCCTACTCCAACATGCTTTTCTGATTCTTTTTTTCTTTATTGCCTTACTGCAGAGCTTCTTTAAATGTTTTATATCCTTCTTTTAGCACAGTCTTTTCAACTGAAAGTAAGTGTCTAAATAATCTGAGAGACCATGCTTTGTCTTTAACTATGGCATGTCCTTGAGGTTTGATACATCTCTCTCAAAAACTGAGAGCTAGTAGGAGGGAGCTGTCTTCCCATGCAAGTTTTTCAATGCAGTACATTCCACTGTTTGTGTGGACAGACACTCTTCTGCTCTTTTTGTTCATCTGCAAATTGAGAGCAGAATATTTGGGGATAGATTTTTATATAAACAGTCTTCTTACTCTAATGCATTTCTCTCGATCTTTCATTAAATATGAAGCAGCTCTGTCAGTATTGATGTGATGTACCACAGCTATAGATGGAACCCCCTGATGTTTTGTTGGTGCAATCTTTATAATTCTGGTCTATGTATACACATTGTTACACAAGATTTAAGAAGGACTCTGCCCTCTTTGCTGAAGTAATGCAAACATGTGAGATCAAGTGAGACATTACACTGGACAGGATTTACAAGTGGGTCTGAATATTAGAGGAAAAAAGATAGATAATTACACTTATTTTGTGTATAAATGCTTGTTGATTCATTATAAGTTTCCAGGAATGGTAGCCAGATGACCTAGTAGGTAATCCTCTGTTGTACTATTAAATAGCATAATTATTCCTAGGAGAACTTTAATCAAAGTTTTTACCTTTCATTACATTTTTTTTGTAGACAAAACATTATTTCATATACAATAAGTTAACTTAGATACACATAATTTGCATAGGGTTTTTTAAAATGCCTTGTTAATCAACCTGTATCTGTGAATATTCTATTACCTACTATATAAAAAAATTATTTTCTAATTGTTAGTTGCAGACATGTCATTGTAAAGGTTTACTCTAGTGCATTGAAAAGATAAATAGATGATTGTCTTTTGGAATTACTGTATCAGTGTCAGTGTTGTCTCCCTCCATATCACAAGCTTTTAATCTTATTTTTAGATACCATTCTTCGATGACGTAGGAGCAATGACACTTCAGTATTTTGATTCTTTATTTCAAAGGGATAACCTGCAGAAATCGCAGTTTTTTAAAGGACTGCCAAAAGTTCTGCCAAAACTACCTAAGGTATGTCTGAATGATGTCTTGAAATAGCAAGTTTGAAAATGTGTACACCTGTTAAGAGTCTTGACTTGGAATGTTGGACTTTGTAGCGCAATAGACTGCCATGAGACAGACAGAATAAAGTAGTAGGAAAGAAAGGCAGATGAGAAAATAATTAGTGTGGAAAGAATACTTTAGGTGGAAAATGTGGAAAATGGCAAATTGTGCTATCAATATGTATGTTACCATCATTTGCATGACCTGTTGTAGTTCATCCCAGTTTGAAAGGTAGTTGTCTTCTTTCCACTTACAAGGCTTTCCCTTTGTTTCCAGATGCTATCATAGCTCTTTGAAGTCATCTTGCTGCCTTTTTTCCCTTTTAGATTCCTTGAAGTTTTTTCATAGCAAGGCAGTACTACGACATCAGTTGAATCATGCAAAGCTTCCTCCGCTCAACAGACTAAGTGCTTTCCTCTGCTGTCAGTGCCCAGAAATTTCAAAGGCAAATGCCTGTCATTACAGATTTCTTCTGTGTAGTTAAGACACTATGTCTAGAATAACTCCTTTTCCTTTTATGCTGTACCTTAATTTATATAAGCCATAATGCATATGTGATAGAAAGATAGTTTAATACATAATAGAGTACCTGAGCTTCTCAACCATTGCATTGAATTTCCTTGGTTTTAATTCTGTTTTGCGCTACACAGCACAAAATTCAGACTTCAGTTTAATACTCTCTTCCTTTTAAATTACTACATTTCTTCTTTGATCAGAAGTGCATTGAATTTAGGAATAGGTGGCATGCATTTCACCTAACTTTGGACAGCCACTGACTGACCTAATCGTCTTTAGGGCATTTGGGGTTTTTTTCTTTCCTGTCTTGAAAGTATATTTGATGAGGGAATTGACTGTGCACAATCGAACTGTAGATTTTTAATGACTTTAAAAGCATTTAAGGATGTCTAACTCTACAGTAGACATCCACAGTGTAAATACCTATTTCATCAGCAGAATATTATTGAGGGAATGTCCCTGGAGTTTTACAGGGACATATAGTAGGAATATGTGTTTGTTGAGTGAATGATGGGATACAGAAAAAAATTTTGGGGGGGGGGAGAGGGTGAAAGGGTCTTTTTAGGGTCATTTTTAAAGAAAGCATCTAGAGTAAGGTTTTCATAATTCATGTATGTGGCTGAAAGTCCTATTTTCTGTACAGTTACTTGCTTTTTGTTGATCTTCACAGTCTGCACTTAGGTTTTGAGTGGAAACAGAGGAAAAGTAAGCAAAGTAGCACAGTGTAAATGAAATAGAGTATACTGTGAAAGTAAGAGTTCAAAACTGCAAATTGTCTACTTTTTTGTAAATGTCAGGGTTATACAAAGCTGAGCTGGCACAACAGTAACTTACTGCGGTGCAGTACCCAGTGATGCATACTTGTATTTTTTTCTTTTAGCGTGTTATAATTCAGCGGATTTTGCCTTCCTTGACTTCTGAGTTTGTGAATCCTGATATGGTACCCTTTGTTTTGCCTAATGTTCTCTTAATTGCTGAGGAATGCACCAAAGAAGAATATATCAGGCTCATTCTACCTGATCTTGGTCCTGTTTTTAAGCAGCAAGAACCAATCCAGGTATGTTGTTATTGTACAGATAGCGATTTTTCTCTTTGGTGGTTTGTTTTTTTTCTCCCTTGAAAAATGACTAATTGTTCAATTTCCCTTTTCCAGCTTCACACATAATGCCCAGCCTGCTCTGTACTTGTTCAGGCGGTCAATCTTGATACCTGCAAAATAGATGTTCCCAGGAAATTCACAAAGTCTCTACCCCTGCTTTTTTAGATGGGTTTTCTGAGGGTGTATTTGCATTTATAGATGACAGAAAAGGAGACATTTAATTTACCACACAATTCTTGGATTTGATTGGTTGCAGAAGGTGTATTTCTAAGCATTTTATCCCTTATTTAGCCAATCTGAGCAGGGTTGTACAGTACAATATTTGCATATATTCTACCAGTAGCTGAACTTTTGATTTTTTATTTTCTTTCTTGTATCCAGATTGGTGATAATGGGATCATGGGGTGGGAAAATTATAATTTTGACACATTCTTAGAAGTGCTCTTTATTCATGATAAGAACAATAGTTTTTATTAGAGTGCTGTGCACAAATTTGTGGAATTTTTTTTAAATTGTATTTGACAAATGTAGTAAGTAAAATATGCTTTTTCCATGTTGTTTAAATACATAAAAATATTAAGACATAGTTGTTACTTAAAAGAAGCAAACATTCACATCCTTTCATCATGACCATGTGCACAATGATTCCTGAGAATTCTGTGACTGAGTTAGGCATTGTCCCTCCACAGATGAAAGACAGATAGGCATCCCATCTAGCTTCCCTTGGTTTATTGCTGTATGCCAGGATTTCTCTGCAGAGCACTTATAGGGCAAAATAAGCATAAGAATGATCAAGTAGACCTTTTATTTCTGGGTTACAGAAAACTGGACCAGAAAGCTCTCATTATACTGAGAAGTGGGGGAAGGGGGACAACTGTGTAACTGCAAATACCTCACAAAATTTGAACTATTTAATGCTATTTGCATTTGGTAACTGAGGCTTTATGTTAGCTTTTTGTTGTCTTGAAAAAAATAAACATCTAACCAACCAAAAGCCAGTGAACATCTCCTTTGTGCTGTTTCATCCTAAAAGGTAACACTGTGTTTTGCTACCTTTAAAATTAGATTTGTGAGAAAATCTTCACTGCAAAAAGTTTGTAGCAGAGTTTTATCTAGAGCATAATGGGCACAAAAGCTGATTTATGTCTTGAGAAATGAGGGAAGTAAAATGCAAACTTGAGGTCAGTTCATAAAGAACAAGCTTTGCAGAGTTTTTCTGTAGGTATCTAGATAGTGTATATTAAATTCTTATGTTACTACTTTTAATGCTAAGTGCTGCATGGCTTATTCAACTATTATTTCTGTGGTCTTTTTAGTGTGGCAAAGTTTAAGTATTCTATGTCACGTTTTCAAAGTTAATATACTAGGAATTCATGAAAATACATAGGTTCAGAGTGCCAGAATATAGAATTTCAGGTCTGACTATCTTTGTGCAAGGCAAAAATGTCTAGTTTGTGTTTGTAACTCCTGAAAGAGAGGTGGACAGGGAAGGTGTTTCTTCCAAACTTTCTCTGTGTTACAGATTTGTATGAGGGGCCTGTTGCTTGACTTCAGTAGGATACTTGAGTTAGGAAATGAACGTATCATAGAGAAACTGCTGTAATTCAGTATGAAGAAATTGTTAGCCAGCGTTCACAATGTCTTTGTGAGGGAATTTTTAATATGAAAATGGAATATCCAGTTAAACTATCCATATTGTACTCTTGGGGTTAGTGTGGAGTAATGTGTGTGCTGTAAATTAACATCCTAGCTGACTGACATAGCTTCCCAGACAAACCCTTAATTTATATCTACAGGAATCCATGGAGAATTAGCATAGGATTGCTGTAAATTCATATTCTGATTCAGTACACAAAGTGCACCCTGCCAAGTACTGGGCTGTGCATTAATGAGTGAACCATTATGATCTAGAGTGCAACTGCTGCTACTTGCTTATTAGATGGTGTCTGTGAATCTGTGACTGAAACATCTTAGTTTCTTTCTAAATAGATAAAAAGTACCAAATATGACCCTAGAAGATAAAAATAAAATATATTCTTTGGAACAGCATGAACTACTTTCTAGTTAAACACAGGTAGAGAGAGAGAGATCAAAAACAGTTCAGCTTTATCTTAGTTGAAAAGCATTGGCAGCTGGTGGGAAAGAGCTGAACTGCTTCTGTGAAATCTAAATTACTGTATAGTATTTGGCTCTTATTTTAAAGGAGACTTGCTAGTTGTTAAATAACAGGTTTTGTTCATGTCCTTTTCAAATTTGCGAAAACAGTCAAACAACCCTTCTTCAAAGCTATAGATTTAACTAACATAGAAACTATGATGCTACTGTATGACAGGGTTGTTGGAGAGGAACAGATGTTATGAGCACGTGTAGGTTTCAAAAAGCCAAACAAAAATTATATATTGAAGAAAATTATAAAATGCAATTTTAAGTCTGATCTCACCTATCTCACCCTAATTGTGCCAAATTTGGGGATACTGCATCAGAATCAGTGTCCAGGGAATGAATGAATGATTGATTTTGTGTGTCTGTGCTGTTTAGGAAGTTATAAATATCCAATAAGAAAACACACAGTAGTTGCAGTATAAAAATCTAGTTTTCTTCCTGGTAAAGGCAAGTTCATAAAAGGGGGAAACTTATAATATGGTCTTGGTACACTTCTATTTCTACACTTTGATGCTTCTGTTTGCTTTAACATACAAGCACTGATTGCTATGTATTTTTCAACTTAAAAATTGAAGTCTTTAACCCCTATGAAATACTTGGCTTTTTATTATTAATGTGATACTATTCAATACAATTTTATCCATCTAGTCTAACCTATTTTCTAAAAGGAGTCTAGATATCAATGCATAGTCAGTGTCACGTCTAGCAAGTTGTCTCACCTGTCTGAGATGAGGTATGAGAGTTACATAGCTCTCTGTGTTTGAGACAGCCTGGATGAGTGACTTAGAACAGCAGCTAGCTGTTAGATGGCTAAGCATAAACAAGGTGAATCCCACTACACAAATGTGCTATTCTAATGTAATTCTTTAGTGATGTGACTTTTTTTGTTTTGAGACATTTTATTTTCTGATATACAATTTCCAGGTGAAATAGAATAAAGGCATTTTGTGTCATTCTGGTAACTTTAATATTCTTTTCATTATGTCTCTATTTTGATTGTAGACATGTGGAATACAGATTTTTATATATAGAGTTGTGATCAAGTGCTTTGAGGACAGAATTTGAGCCATGGATTTTTGGAAGCTAAACTTTTTCAATAGTGATGTGTGTATAAAGATCTTATGTGGGTGGATTTTAACAAAAGGCCATGTTGTAAATAGAAACAGGAACTCCTTACTAAGGCATTACGATTTCTTATTTCAGAAGGGTCAGTCTAGAACATGCATATTTTGTTTGATTTGTGATTGCTGGTTTTAAAATGCAGTAATATGTCAAAGTGTTTTTTGTCTTCCATGCCTTCAGGCAAGCAACATGGTAAGTGATCATGTTTACTGAGTTATAAGAAAACTTCTGAAGCTTTTATGATGTGATACAACACACTTTAAATTGCAGTTATATCCTTATGGAGTTAAAACTTTTGGCTTCTGAATTGTCCTTCTTTTAATAGATATTGTTGATCTTCCTGCAAAAAATGGACTTGCTTCTAACCAAAACTCCACCAGATGAAATAAAGAACAGTGTTCTGCCGATGGTTTATAGAGCCTTGGAGGCACCTTCAATTCAGATACAGGTATAGTAATTACAGCCTTTATTTAAAACATTGGGGTTTTTTCTTTCAGCTAATGTGCCAAATTTTGCTATAATCATGTGTTTACTTGAATGAAACAAAAAAAAAGATAAAGCTGTGTAATATTCATGAATGTTAAAAGAGATAAATGTTTTATTAAAGAGCATTTCTTTCTAGTAAAATAAAATTTAGTTCCCTTAATTTCCAGGGGTAAGCACTTGGCTGTTGTTCTAATGCTCTTAAGTTCTTATCAACAACCATAACAAAAAGTAGGATATACATTTATCTGCTACACATTGCTTGTGTAGCAGAAACTAGGCAGGCAGACATGCTCCTACCAGTCAGGGAGCAGTGGGTTTTTCTGAGGTCCTACTGGTAAGAACATCTGTGCTGACAGTTACCTTGGAAGACCTGATTTGCTGTAAAATCATATTAATATACCTTCTTGTGACATTTTTTATGTACCCATATTTTAGTTTTCCTCTTTATGCTTTCTCTACCTTTCTAAGGTTCTTCTGGGGTGTTTTTTTAAATCATTCTACTGGAATTAATTTCTAGTTACACAAAAGCAATCAGGAGTGGGAGGGGGAGATAAAGAAACAAAGTATTTCTTAAAGAAGGATTTGGATAATCTGATGTGACTTCTACCTTTACAAAGCCTTTGCGATATACTAGAGAAAGGCTTTTTGTTTCTAAGTACCTGGCATGAGGTTTTTTTCTGCATCAGTTATCTGGTTACTCAGCTATTTACTTGCAAAATATACTTAATTTCACTGTCTCTTATTTTTTGAGGTTGGGATGAAATTGGGTGTTCTTTCTCTGTTGCTAAAGTATGTTTAATCTTGATATTCTCTGTTATCTTCAACCTACTATTGTGCTGCTGCAGTGTTGTTAATAGTGTGCATTCAGATTTGGCTGATTTATATGGTTTGTGTTAGTTTGATGTAATAAAAGTTGTCTTTCTAGAAAGGTGTTTCGTGAAAATGCAAGATATTCTTGCTGTCCAAATATTTCATTATGGATTAATGAATGCTCTTTTTTCTAAATGCATTTTCTCAGGTACTGTATACATGCCATGATGCTTTATTATGCCAGCTATTTTTGAGTGAGTCTGATAGATTAAGGTCAGTTTAGTTGAACATATTTCCTTAAAAGGAAACCTTAAGAAGACATTTCAAGATAACTTTGATACTAAGTAGTATTAATACTGATGTTATAATGAACATGCATGTTTGTTTTTTAACTTCTGTGGATTTTTTTTTTTTTTTTGTAGGAACTTTGCCTAAACATAATTCCCAATTTTTTTTTAGGAACTTTGCCTAAACATAATTCCCACATTTGCCAATTTAATGGATTATCCATCAATGAAAAACTCTTTAATTCCAAGAATTAAAAATGCGTGTTTGCAAACTTCTTCTCTTGCTGTAAGTATCCTAGTAAATTTATCTTTCAGTCCTCAGAAAGTGTCGCTGCCTTTAATAACTTTGGCTTTTCTGTGGTTGTGTCTTTAATGAAAAGCCCATCAATGTGCTCCAATTTCATTTTGAGACTTTTTAGAAATGCAAAAGCACCATTTATATCTTTAGCAATTTTTAAGGTTGTTAACTTACTGCAGAGTAATACTGTAAAAATTATTGAAGTGTGTTCCACAATAATATACATTAGCTATGCTTATCATGAGGAAAAGCCAAGGTTTTGTGAGCATAAGTTTTTTTAACTTGTCTTGAATTTTCGGATATAAAGGTTGTAGTTTCAGTAGCACCTGTTTTCTTCTGAGTTTTGTAAGGCAAAAATGTAGTAAAGAGTTTTTTACGCAAAAATGCAGTTAAGAGTTTGTTTAATTCTTACCATACTTTACAGGTCCGGGTAAACTCACTAGTGTGCTTGGGCAAGATTCTGGAGTACCTGGATAAATGGTTTGTGCTTGATGATATTTTACCTTTTCTACAACAAATTCCATCCAAGGAACCTGCAGTGCTCATGGGAATTTTAGGTAGTTAATATTTCCAACTTTCTTTTTTGCTTTGATGTTGTAGATCTGAGAGCTTTCTGCGTTATCCTTGGGCATGTTTACATAAAATAACTATTCAAAACTTCCTGGTTCTGACTTTTAAGTCTGTCCCTGTTCGTTTACCTTATGTATTGTTGGTACATCTGAGAACTAGTACATATATTTGTAGTCTTCACTGCCCAGTGCAGTTCTAAGTACTCACTGCAGTTCTTGGGCTGTGGCACTTGCTTGGACTATATGCTCCACACAGCCAGAGAGGCTGTTTACCTCAAGTGATATAATCTGTCTTGTTTCAGGTGCTAGCACCTGCCTGGAGCTTTTAAGATGCTACTGTTGCCATCTTGTACCACTCTTCTATGTTAGATGCTATTGTCTGTGATTGTCTATAAGTCTGCAGGTCTTTACTGCAGGTTTTGTTAGACTCATTTTGATTAAGCAAACAGTGCTGCCTCTTCACTGAAATGAAGCACACTGAAATGAAACTTCTGGGTGAGGTTTCACAAGTTGGCTAACAAAACTTAATGGCTTGTTACTTCTGGAAGGGAAGGCCTCACTCTCATTTGTGCTTTCCTAATGTCATTTGGTGCTTGTCTAGATCAGGTTGTGTAATTTTAACAACTTGCATGGGCTCAAGGACACAAGGTGACTGGAGACACGGCCAAGAAAGAGGTGTGACCCCGTGACCAAGTCTGGAAGACAGTGACCGTTTCTCTTACTAGCAACAAAGTAGTAGACCATTTTTAACATTTGAGCTGTGCCAGCAAGAGCCCTGATTAACCACTGTAATAATATGTGATGGCAGCATTATTTTGATTTGCTCAAAATCAGCAAGAATGCATCTATCTGTGCTGATTTAAAGCTGCCATTCCCTTAATCTTTGCAGCCTTGATTTATATTTACTGCTTAAGAATGAGGGACACTGTCTTTTTTACTTTAGTTGTGTTACTCTTGAATTCCACTCGGATACAGTCGATAAGTGAACCCTAGTTTGGAAATGATAGGCTGAAGTCAATTTTATATACTCAGGCTCTCCTTTTTTTTTTTTCCCCAGAATTATAATACCTTCCTTTTTCTATGTGATATCTTTATCTTGGTGACAGCTCTGTTACACTGCCACAGAAAATGAGGAAAGTTGGTGTGCCTTTTATGCTAGTATGTTCAGTGTTTGCCACCAGAGCTGGACTATTTAAGCAAAGGACTCTTCCTGTCAGAAACACTATAGAATGTGTGAGCTTAACACTGGGTCCGTCATGCCTGTCAGTATTGTTTTTCCAGTGATTTCAGAACAGATAAAAACTATGCATGATTTCTGATCCCATGTATAACACAGCTCCAGACTTCTAGGTAACAGTATTTGTAAAATGCCATCAGAGAGCAGTAGGACAGTCAATACTAGCCACATCAGTGTGCCAGGAGAGAGCACATCACAGAATCAGAGACTGGGTCAGGTTGGAAGGGACTGCAGTGGGTCATTTGGCCTAGCCTTCCTGGTCAAGCAGGGTCTTCCTAGAGCACATGGCACTAGAGTGTCTGGATTACATCTAGATGGTTCTTTGAATATCTCCAATGAGGGAGATATTCAAACCTCTCTGCCTACTCAAACCTCTATTCAGACTCCACAAACTCTCTCTTCCAGTGCATGGTCATTCACACAGTAAAGAAATTCTTCATATTCATCATGTGCATCAGTTTCTGCCCATTGCCTCTTGTCCTAGTGCTTGGCGCCACTGAGAAGAGCCTGGCTTCATCCTCCTGACTCCCTCCCTTCAGATACTGCACTGAGTAGGCACTGAAGGCATCCCCTCTCAGTCATCTCTTTTCAAGGCTGAACAGGCCCAGCTCCCTCAGCCTTTTCTTATAAGAGAGATGCTCCAGTGCCTTGATAACTTTGTAGCTCTAATATCCTTAGTGAATGCAGCTTAGTTTCTCAGTGGCCATGTCTCAGTTTGTGGTAACTCAGTTGCTCATGATCTGTTCATATTCTTTGTATTCTCAAATAATTGGCCAGTACAATACATTGACTAATATCAAGTTTCATAACTGCCAAGTATGACTATGGACATCCTCTTGTTCTGAACTGTAGCAAAGTCTCTTACTGTAATAAGTTTGTGTTGTTAATGCCTACTTGGATTTTATGATTTTCTTGATCATGTTTGTCCCTGCCTGCACACAAACACAGTGACCATTCAGATGAACAATTTATATTTGAGCCTGCTACTTGGAGTTTGTTCACATTGTTTACTACACTTAACAACTTTTGCTGTTTTGATATTGTATGTCAGGTATTTACAAATGTACATTTACTCACAAGAAGTTGGGAATTACCAAAGAGCAGCTTGCAGGAAAAGTATTGCCCCATCTGATTCGTCTTAGTATTGAGAACAATCTTAATCTCAATCAGGTAGGAACATGACTATTTTGCATGCTTTTACTTAATACTTATCTGAGAATAAATTTAAATGGTTGTCATAGAAAAACTCATACGTTACTGTGTCTGTTGTAAAAACAAACAGTACCCAAACCCTTCCCAGCTCGGCTGTATTTGTGTGTTTAAAGGTTGTTATTTTTCAGTGTATATAACTAATTTGGTATGAAATATCAAAATGAATACTGTCACCTTCCAAATATCCTGCAAAAGCAGTTAACTGCTAACATAATAAGAATTCATGTTCAATGCTATGTTGCTGTGAAATACTGGGAAAGGGAATAGCTATTACATTGTATTGTTTTCTTGGTTTTTTTGAAAATGAATCTGGTAATACTCACATGTGGGGTTTTTTTGTCTGCATTGACCCACTTTTTTGGTTTCTTTAGTGTCATGTATTTTTCCCTGTTTCACAATGCACCCTGCTTGTAGTTTGGTGTCTGTGTGATAGTGAAGGTGGATTAGAAAGGATTTAAAAATCTGCATTTTATCTGACATTATAGATTGTAAATTTTATGAGGTATTACATGATATGTTATATCTGAATTCCATCACTGCAAAATCTAAACTTCTTATATATTTCTTTTCCAGTTCAATTCTTTTATTTGTGTCATAAAAGATATGCTTAATAGAATGGAGGCAGAACATAAAACAAAACTTGAGCAACTTCATGTCATGCAAGAGCAACAGAAGTAAGTGTTTGTTTGTTTGTTTGTTTTAGAACAGGAGTCAGTTTTTCAGCAAATGTGAGAAAACTAGATGTAGCAATGAAAAAGATAGGAAATTCTTAGTTCAGTAGTCAAGAATTACCTCAGATAAGCACAGTTGTCTGAAGTAGTGGTTTTATAGAATAAAATACTTTACTTCTATACAATTCAGTTGCAGTTTATTATTTTAAATCAGTAATTTTTAATCCATTAAATGTGGAAGTTCATACTCCGCTCCACTAGTGCAGTTTATGCCTTGCCTCTATATGCTAAGTTGTTTTTCTGTAATTGCTGACAAGTAAACCATACTGGAAAAAGCATAAACATTGCAGCCTTTTAGAGAGCTGTAACATTTTAAGATATTTAGAACTATTTCATGGAGTCTGATATGAGGTGACATTTCTGAGACCAATTAACTTGGGCTATCTGAAGTCTGAGTCACCCCCTTCAAAAGGACGAACCAAGACCTTCACTGTTTAGCACAGAAACATTTCCCAGTCTCCTAAATGCATTATATAAAAATGTCAGTGCTCTCATAATACAGGTTTTTTTGCATTATTTAAATGCAGAAGAATAATCTGCATTGCTAGATTAGCTGTGTCATGGATGTGACTGTAAAGTAATATGTGAACTCTGCACTGTGTAGGTCTTTGGATATAGGTAACCAGATGAGTGTGTCTGAAGAGGCAAGATCTACTAGTACAAACAATCAGGTAAGAAATGATGTTTTATTATGTAACTCTCATATAGAAATTTGACATTTAAAATCACTTAGTCAATATTTATGTTACCTTGAGTTACACCATTTCAAATAACGAAGTTTTGTTTCTTGGACTTATACAGATTGACAAGGTATTTAATAATAGTGGAACTGACCTTCTAACTAGTGGATCTGATGGTAAAGAGAATGAGATGTCATCAGTACAGAAAAAGGTGTGTTTTACTTTGTTTTGCAATTCAGTTACATCCATCTGTCTAATTCAAGACTGATACAGAAAAAGTGTGTGTGTGTAAATATTTACCACATTTAAACCTTTAATTGAAAAACAAAGTGATTTTTGTATAGGATCTGTGTGACCTTCATATGTGACCATTCAGTCACATATGAAGGTCCATTGAAAAACATTCAAATCATATCTTTGCATTTCCATGAAAGCCTTTCCTTGAAAATAGTTCTGTACAAAGTGAGCAGCAATTAGGATTATACAGGTCATTTTCTTTCTCCTTATTTTCTTATTTCTTATTTTCTTTCTCTTCTTAACAGGAACTTCAGCACTGGATTTAAGTAGGAAACTCAAAATAGGGACATAGATGATAAAATTGCAAAGAGAAATAATGATAAAATGTAGAATTTCATGGAGTAGCAGAGACTAAAATTTACTGTACAATTCAAGTTATGTGAAAATAAGTAGTCAATATGGGATTAAAACAGGAAGCAAATAGAAAAGATGACATGATATAGAATATTAAACATAAGCATAAACTATAGTAAATTTCCGTTCAGACTAATAATTATGGAAATGGCTCTCCAGAATCTAGATATTTTATCATTTCCATTTCTAGTTTTCTGAATCCTCGCACTAATTTTAGACTAAGCAGGAATAATTTGATGATTTTATCCTTCATTATTAACAAACGTAGTTAAAATTCTGTAAAAGCTCTTGGGCAATCTTAAAATTCCCTTTCCAACTCAGTAGTTGGTAGCAGTTCTAACTATGAAGTTAGTAACCGTAAGAAAAACAAAACTTTGAAGAACACCTTCTCATGCCCAATATTTAGAAGACAGAACTAAAGTGATTTTGTTGATTTATCTCTTTTATTGAGATCTGCCCATATTTCTCATTTTGCGATTTTAATACTCTATTTATTTGCTTTAAGAACTTTTTAGCGATACGGTGCATATTACAGTAGATTTTGGGCTTACTCGCTTTCTCTTTTGTATAAATAATTATTTTCTGCCACATATTATGGAAATTGCTATTTATGAAATAAAAATACCAATGTAATAACCTTTTTGTGCAACTTTGTACTGGTACTTTCCCTTTTGAAGGCATCACTTACACTTGAAGAGAAGCAGAAGTTAGCTAAAGAACAAGAACAGGCACAGAAACTGAAAAGCCAGCAACCTCTTAAGCCACAGGCAACTGCAATAACACCTCCAGTGAAGCAGGTGAGAAAAAACAAACTACTGCACTGTTTCCATTGGAGCTCTGATGCTTTTTCAAGTGCTGTATGCATTTATTTTTATTTTTTTTCTCCTGGGAGTCACCTTTGTTTTCTCTGGTAGTACAGTGGCACAGCTGAGAAAAACTTAGTTTTCATGTGCCTTCTATTTGCATCACTTGTAATATTTTCCACTTTTTAAATTGCAGGAGTTTCCACAGGTGTCAGTCTTACCAGAAGGCCATTGTTCTAGATAAGGAAAAAGCACATATTAAAAGAGGTTTTGCTCTGTAGAGTTTCTTAAGTAAATATATAAAGGATTTGGGGGTAGGAATGGGGCATGTAAGCAAATAGTCACACTAGTACTTTGTGTTTAGTCTTAGTTGTCAAATTAAAGCTGTGTAACAATTAGTTCTAAGTAGCAAGTGACAAAAATAACCTAATTTCTCTTGTGTGTAATTACATTTCATGCCCAATTCCATGGAGTGAATTCTAATTTCTACTCCATGAAAAATTAATGCCAGTTCTGCAGGAGTAATGATAAAAGGCTATTCCTAGTGCAGTTGTACAGGAAAAGCATTTAACTGCATTTTATGTATTTTGCAGACAAAAGACTTGACAGACACCTTGATAGATAATATGTCATCTTTGACTAGCCATCCTATCAACAAAGCTCAAGTTGCATCTTCAAACAGCTTCTCTTCTGTTCCTTCTATGGGTGTTGGAATGGGATTTTCATCACCCATTGACAGCTCAAAGAGAAATATGACAAATGGACTAAATACAAATATGGGTTTTCAGACTGCTGGATTCAGTATGGGAGCAGGTCTCGCCACCCAGAATTTCTTCAGTGGTCCAAGTGCAGCAGGAACAACCCAGATGAACACTGTACCAGCTGCCAATATGCCAAATTACAGTCCTATGAATGCTGCATCTGCAATGTCTCCACTGACACAACAAAACAGACCCCCAGATATGTCTGCTTTAGATAATCTTTTTGGTCCTCAAAAACCCAAAGTTAGCATGAAACAGTTGGCTCAACAGAAATCAAACCAGTGGGTTAATCAGTTTGCACCACCGTCAGGGTCCCCAAATGCGAGCAGTTCAGTCTTGGGACCTCAGATGAACATGGTAGGACAGCCTGGCTTTGGTATACAGGGTAATCCTTTCTTTTCTCCTCAGAACTTTGCACAACCAGCGAACACAATGACAAACAGCAGCTCAGCTAGTAATGACTTAAAAGATCTTTTTGGGTAAAATGTTTTGTTTTCTTCTTTGAAAGATTGATGAAATTTGAATCCTGGGTAAGCTGATTAACATCTTTTTTTGATTAGTAAAAGCATGACTTGGGGAAACTTTCAGCCCAGCAAAGTAAGGACTTTTGCACTGGAAAAAAGGCTGATGTTGTATTCACCTGGTACTGCAGTGGAATTGTGTAAGTGCAAAGTCATCTTACATGCTAAAGATTTTCTGTCTCTACCAAACACGAGAGTGCCGAAGGTAGAATGTGTATATTCGATTGAAAAAGAAGAAGTATATCAGAATTGTTCAGAGGTGTACTCAATCAACTCCTGTGATCTTTCCTACCAAATTTTGTTTCTTAAGTTCAACTAAACTGTGTAGGGGATAATGACGCTAGTGAATGCAACCCTGCAGAACTGTTTGTGTTGCCTGGATTTGGCACAAACTCTCACAGTTCTTATGCTGGCCCAAAAATTTTGATAGCCATGTTACACAGAAAGATTTCCAACCAATAACTGTAAGAGGCTGAGAAGAGAGCATATTTGACTTTCTTCTCTTATAAAAGATAATTGCACTAAATGCAGTAGTAAACTACAATGAGATTCATCAGGCATAAGAAGTTGTTTTAAAATTTTGTGCAAGTTTGGGACAGAGTAAGAAATACTGCTCCAAAGGTCATGCTGGTTTACAATCTCTTTTATAATGCCAGGTCCTTGTTACAAGCCCCTTAGCAAAAGCAACATACCACTTCA